ACTCGCAGGAAGCCCTTTCCTCCTCTGGCCAGGCTGTCTCCAAAATCTTTGGGTTGTCGACCCATTTCTTCTCTTCGTTTTTGCTGATATTCTTTGTCCATTGTAATTGCTGCCAAACCTTTCCCAACAGAACCGGTGATTCGAGATACAACTCCTGCTGCACCGCCTAGTAAACGACCAGAGAAATAAGTCGCACTGCTTCTTCAAAGAGCATTTCACAACACACAACAGGCAACTGCTGTAAAGTAACAGGTGCTTAAAGTTCTCTCATGGGCCAGCTCCATGGCCAGAGGTTAAGGGAGCCAGATTCCCATTGGCCCACCGGTCAGTTCAAATCTCGAACCCTGTGGCTTGAAAAATGAGCAAGCGCACGTGCGTGCATGCCCCAATCCCAACAGGAAGGAAAATGGAGAAAAAGGGATTGCCGTGTGACCACACCTCGCCGGGAGGTGCTTTGTCCCTCCCCTCTCTGGTGAGCGTGCATACCCTCTTAAACAAATTTTTTTTAAAGTATAAGTCTGTCTCACACACAAAATTGCAGAAATTAATTTTTTCCATCTATCAAGGAGAGGAATAAAACTACTTAAAGTGTATAGTTTCAACACTACAAAGACATTTAACAAAAACTAGCTGGCCACTGTGAATTTATTTTCCATTTAAGTACAAGGCAGTACGTATTTTAAAAGGGATTGTTAGAAAAGTGATCTTGCTTTTATCAAACATGAGCATTTGTTTTTCATGAGCAATACATTTCATAACACAATGAAAAATTATATACCTACATACAGATATATGCCACATACCTACTGTATGTCCAAAGAGACTTCTCACTCCAATCACCAACCCTTCAGCAAATTCTTCAGGGCCTTGAACGGCACCCTGGCAAATAAATGAATAAATAGGTTTACATCAAAAGTTAAATAAGTTTAAGACTTTTAATCTAACATTTTAGGGTTTCCATGAAGATACAGAACCTATGAAGATCCATAAACACTGTAATGAAATCATTTTCACCGTCTACTCCAAATACTGGCAGAATACCAATTGTGTTTGAAGATACCTTCAACTCACGTATCTCAGCAAATGCTATTACATAAGGAGCTAAGGTGTAAGACACTTTCAGCCCCGTTTTGAAGCGGCCTCCAGCACACAGGGCATCAGACTGCTGAATGAGCCACACGACCACAGACCGACGGCCCACGTCGTCTGGCTCTTGGCTCTCCCACTTGCTCTCTTTGCTTCATCGTCTAAAACCCTCACCACCCTGGGCTCCTGGACCACTCAGTGGAACCAAACAGGTTAAACGAGAGCCTGAATATGAAATGAAGTTAGGTTTTACCGCCCACCGGCTCCTTTCCTGGTGGAAAAGCCTTGAAAGGGACTTCATCTGCTTAGCACTCTAAATAATCCTTACTAACTATATTAAATCCTGGAGAATGTAGACATATTGCCTGGTTATGAAAAATGCTCATTTACTTCTAAGCAATGTTTCGATGTCTTCTCAAGTACTTTAAATAAAAACATAACATTGATGTACTTTTATTTGAACATCACTCAGTTCTCAGATATAATTAAAACACAGACTGCTATAGTGGTCATTAAAAAAAAACCAGAACATTTATTTTTCTATGCCTATACTTAAAATAATTAAAGAGCAATACCTGGAAGGGTTCATAGAACAAAGCTTCAACTCCTTCAGACAGACCTCTAATTAATCCAAATGGGTTTCCAAGCACATCTAAGCCTAATACAAGTACATACATTTGTTTCAAGAACTGAGGAAGAAGAAAAAAAAGAAAATGAAGTCTTTTAAACTGTTAAGAAATAACATCATGCTACATTAGGAAAAAAGGGGGGCTGCTAATTAAATTAAATTTGTTAAAGGAAAGCTGTGTAGAATAACTGCCACATCCTTTAATTGATCTTTTTCTATGTGCCTGGCACCATGTTAATATCTTATGTGGCTTTCAAATTAGACAGAACTAGGCGTAAGACATGAGCTGCCATTTGGCAGTTATGTGACCTTGAATGAGTCAGTCCTATTGGCTTCAGTCTTATTATCTACAAAATGGGGAGTGTTTTTCTCGTTTGTTTGTTTGTTTTTTGCTATAGGGCACATGTGCTCATCAGAGAGAGACAGATGGAAGGGAAGTGGGGGCAGTGAGAAATCACCCCACTTCCCCCCGGGGAGCATGGCCACACTGTAATCCCTTCTCCTCCATTCTTCTCTCAGGGCTTTGGGCACATGTACACATAAGCCTGGCATGATATTCAAGCTGCAAGGTTCAGACTGGAAACACAGTTGGCCATATGGGAGTCTGGCACCCTAACCACCATGCCACTGGTCCCCACCCCCACCCACTCCCCACCTTCCCCGCCACTATTATTTTCAAGGCACTAGGTCTGGGACTTGAAAGGTGAAGTTAGCCAAGTGGGATACCGCCTCCTTAACGTCCACACCACTTGCTGGGCCAAGATCTTTTATTATTACCTTTTCATCACTATTATTATTAAACTATGTGGGGAATAATTAGTAACTAAAACAAAAGGAGGGACAGTCTATTCTTTCTATTCTATCTAATGCTCATAATTCTATCCATACAAGATTTTCTGAGGGGGAGGGATGGGAAATGCCCCCTGTAACTCCCTGGTACAGCAGAGGCAGCCATGTGGCCTGCAACTACCACTCTGCCTCTGTTGAATACCTACTTGAATTAAAGTGCAACTTGGGCTTAGAGAGGACACTGGCTTAAAATTCCTCTTTCAAGTCCACTGGATCACATTTAGAAACGATAGTCACTGAAGAAACCATGTGTAATGACTCCAAAATTGCTCTGCTTTCCCAAAGTGGTAACCGTGTAATCACAAAGGAAAGAGGCCATTGGAGGAAAATTTTAAAAAGGTGTATGTAGGGACCAGCAGATGGCATAATGGTTACGTCACTGGACTTACACGTAATCGTCTGCAGTTTGAGTCCTGAACCTGGTGGCTTAAAACTCACACTGGACATGTGTGTGTGCAAGCCCAGAATCTCACGAAGAGAAGGGAATGCAGCATGGCCATCTCCCCTGGGGTGGGGGAGATTTCTCGTTTTCCATCTCTCTGCCTCTCCAGCAAGCACACATGCCCTACAGCAAAAATTTCTCTCTCAAAAAATGTATATAGACCAGCAGTTACGTCACTGGACTCCCACACAGTCAACTGAGGTTTGAGTCTGGATCTGGTGGCCTGAAACTCAGGCTGGGCATGTGTGCGTGCACGCCTAAGATCCCAGGAAGCAAATACAGGAGAATGGATTGCGGCATGGCCATAACCCTTGGGGGGTGATTTCTCATTTTCCCTCTCACAGTCTCTGTCTCTCTCTCTCTCTCTCTCCAGTAAGCACACATGCTGTAAGGCAAAATCCTCTTAAGGAAAAAAAAGAGGTATATGTATAGATGGGGACAGAAAAGAAGAAACGGTTATTAGTCATTCAAAGAAACCACTAAGAAGAATTGAAATAAATTAGATAAACATTACTTTACACTATACAATCACATAGGAATGTTTCGTTTTGCTTTTTTACGAAGGAAATTCCTTATGCACTACCATGATAGGAAATTACCTGCTCACTGTAATGCCTAACAACACTCCACATGAGCTGATCTCGCTTGTAAAACTGGTATCGAATTTCATAATAAGCAAGTCTAAGAGAAGGAAAGGAGAGATTCAGAGACACGAGGATTATAATATGGAAACAAAAGGAATGTAAAATCTCAATTCTAATCATAACTAATTCTTTCACAATTAACTACATATTTGCCACATATAATTTATGGTTGATATCTTCATAGGATAGTAAAAAAATGTAATAGACACAGTGCATCCTCATATATAAGTTTTTCAAAAATACATAAAGACTAAAAATGTTTTAAAAAAATCAACTATAATCCCAGTTTGTAATGGATTTTTAAGTTTTTTCTTCTCATTTTTCACTTTACATTCTTTCTTTAGTCTTCCAAGTAATTACAAAATTTTAAAACATTTGCAGGACACTTTTACCCTCAACAACGTGAGTACTTACTCTCCTACATTGTTTACAATCCTATGTAACCGTATTTAATGGATACATAGCATTGTCCCATGACGCAGTGTCACTACAAAGTTTTGCACTGTCCTTTCTAATGTCTTGGTATATTTATTCATGTTGCTATGTATACATGGACTCTAACTCTTTGGCTGCATTATAAGATTAATTTTTGTATTGAATTCTCAAAGATAAAATCACTGAGTGAAAGACAACAAAAACATTTAAGACTCTTGATACTTTCCACTCACACCAACAATATAAAAAAGTGCCCGTTTCTTAAACCTATTTCTACTGCATTTTGAAATCTTTGTTAACGTGATTACATTTACATATATCGTTGATAAACAACAAAGCTAAACATTTCAAGTATCTGTCAGTCATTGTATCTTCCCTTTTATGAATGACCTCCCATTGTCTTCTGGCCATGACACCACTGGCAGCTTTAGGAGTTTCTCATCAATACTTCACATTAAGACTATCCAGGCCAAGAGGTAGTTTGATGGTTAAGGCGCTGGATTCCATATGGCCAACTCTGTGATTTGAATCCCGGACCTGGCAGCCTGAAAAGCATACTGGATGCATGTGCCCAAAATCCTGAGAGGAGAATGGAGGAGGGTTTGCAGTGTGGCCATCCCCCTTGAAAGGTAATTTCTCACATTCTGTCTGCAAGTGCACTAGCCCTATGGGGGAAAAACATCCCAAAAAAGAGGACTATCCATTCTTTCTCTCTGTTTGTCACTATATTTCCCAGTTCTTTGCTTTTAAATTGTTTTCACTGATTTTGCTGTAAAGTATTTAAATTTTATATCGTCAAATCTACCTCGTATTTTCCATTAGAAAGTTTCTCACTGCTTTTAAACTGAATAAGGAATTCCTTTATTCAGATATTTGATAATAATTGTCTTCTTTATTTTTTAAAGTGCTTTTAGTTTAAATTTTAAATTTTATCCTTAGTTTCCTCTGAAATTTGGTAATGTGCATATGAAGTGAAAATGACCTAAGCTGATCTTCTTTTCCCTCTTAGGTAACTACTTGTTCCAACACCAGTGTTGAATACTCAATTTAGCAAACATTTATTGAATGTATGTTTATTTAATATACATATTCTTGTATTAAATTTAGCAAGAAGCTCTTATTTTATTTATACTTTGCCATATGATTAAACTGAAATCTCACTCTACTGATAATTTTTTGTTTGTTTTTTTGCTAGAAGGTATGTGCCATCGTTGGAAGGGCGAGAGAAAGGAAAGTGAGAACACACTCCCACAAGGTGGGTGGGGGTAGCCATGCGGCAATCCCCCCTCCTCCATCCTCCTCTCTGGATTTTGGGCATGCACATACATTTACCCAGTGTTTTTTTCAAGCTACTGAGTCTAGGACTTGAACTGGGCAGTTGGCCAAGTAGGATCCAGCAGCCTTAACCACCAACAGCTGGCCCTGATACATATTTCTACATATATTTCTGATTGAAAACATGGTCAATAACTGAACTTCTATTGTACATTCAAGTATAATCTAGATATGAATAGCCTAAGAAAACATAAAATCCTTTACCTTATAGTTTTGAATAAAGTAAGTATACCTACAGAGTATAATGAGAAATAGGCCAAATTCTTCAAGTGTCAGTAGTTAAGAACTAGTTTTCTAAGCTAATATTGCACAAATGGAGAGAACTAACATCCAGAAATATAACACTGGTACCAACACTTCCCAATGTACTTTACTGAAGTCTTACTTGAATACAAGGTCATCCACATCAGTGAGAGTAGCTCCTATGCTTTTCAACAGCAGGTGGACAGAATGAATTGCGATCATTTCCTGTTTTTCTTTGTCTGATTCTTCACTTCCAGAACCCAAAGACAGACTTAAATGCAACTAAGAGAAAAATAGTGCTCAATTAATGAAAGTTAGAAAAACTTTTCATTTTAAAACATTAAAAAATTCATATACATAGGAACCAGATATTCCAAATACAAATAAATGAACCTTTCAATTGGAGTCCCAGTGAAAGCTATTAATTGTCACTCTAGGGACCAGCAGTTGGCATAATGGCCATGTCGCTAGACTCTCATGTGGTCGATCAAGGTTTGAGTCCTGGACCCAGTGGATTAGACTCATGCCGGGCACGTGTGCATGCGTGCTCAAGATCCTAAGAAGAGATAGGAGGAGAAGGGATTGCGGCATGGCCATCCCCTCTGGAGGATTATTTCTTGTTTTCTGTCTCTCTGTCTCTCTCTGTCTTTCTGGCGAGCACACGTGCCCTAGAGATAAATAAATAAATAAATAAATAGTCACTCTAATTATTATAAAAAACCCCACTGTCGATTTATTCTCATTTGCTCTTTGATAAAATACAATTGGTCTGTTACAAAAACAGAGCTCATATTTATTCAACGTGTATAATTACTACTGTGTTCCTATGGAGGAGACCAACGTATTTTACAAAAACAGCATCACTGTTTTGATTAGAAAAACAAATCGACTGGTGCTTATGTAGTCTCCAGCCAAAATAAAGGATATTCATTTATTGTCATCCAATTACAGTAGATCACTTATGATAACAATTAATAACAATAATGTTATAGTTATACCATAATATCAATTTACAATAACACGATCACATGGAAACAACGAGCAAGTTGCCATATTAATTTTTAAAAGACACTAAGGTTTTAGGCCTCTATAGTCCCTCCAACTCAGGCCTTAAACATAGGATTTTCACATTTCCATTTAACTTTTACTTGATGCTATATTATCATTACTACAGTAGTGCAAGAAAACATAGGGAAAAAGGTAACTCAGCGTGTGTTAATAAACCAGATTACTGCTCCTTTTTCATTCTGCCATTCCCAAGGCATTTTATCTAAGAGAGAGAGCTCAATGGAGTGGACCTGGGCCACGGCCAGGAAAGCCCGGTTGTCGGTTTTTTCTTTGATGTGGAGGCCTGCCCATGTGTGAGTCAACAGTGTTGGACTCCAGGAAAGGTAAACTCATGTGGAAAGAGAGCCAGACTTTTTCGAGGGCAAAGTCACCATGGACAGAACAAAAGAATTATGGTTCATAGTCTTAATTATTCAGCTTCACGGCACAATTCTCAATGCCATGAATAGGGTAGCAAACTTTAATATCCTCAAGATTATAAAGTTGGTGGACTCATCCTATTTCTCACCAGCAATTTTGATAATAGGCATACAGTAAATATTTGTTGAAAGTATTCTGAATCCCGCAAATAATTGACTTTCACTTAAAAATAAAAAAGTAATCATATATCACATAAAACAGAATCTATTTCAAAACAGACCCTATGAATTTACCCAATACCAACAAACTGATATGCCCTTTGGACTGGTGAATGCAATTGAAAACAATGTGCTGTAAAGCGTTTTTGGGAATGTAAAGGACCATCAATATCTTAGAGTTACCTAATTGTAAATCTGGGCCATTACACACAAGTTTAGAGCATTATGGTTGATAGCATTCGTGAATTTACTAAGCAGTCACCTTCCCTTAGAAAAGCTAAGAAGAACAACAATGGGTTCCCAATGTACGAAAGCAGACAAGTGAAAGGTATCCAATTTTCCACTCCCTTAGTTACAATCAAATTTTGGAAGGGGGAAAACTTCCACATCAACAGTATAATACCTACTTCAGCGTTTTCACATTCTGGTTAGGGCACCCATTATCGCTTTCCGTTTAGACAGTGATAGTAGTTACAAAGTGCAACCGAAACATTAAACGTTGTGGAGCACTTCTACGCTTAATTAAGAAGTGCTTTTGTCAGCTTCTTCCTTGAGTAAAGGGGTTATTAATTCAAGACTAGAGGACAAGCCCTGGTGGTTTCTCTGTGGGAATTACAGCCGTACATATGTCACTGAGAAGTGCCTGAACTATTTTGATTAATCAAACAAAACTCCCGCCAAATATGTGATACAATTTAAAACCTCCATTTGTACAAAGATCTTTTAAAAGCTTTACAATTCCACTAAATTTGCCAAATGATCATTACAACAAACCTTAACAGGAGAAATATGGAAATGTTCAAAGAAACTAAGAATTGACATATCGGTCATTGAAGTCTCCATTAGTTCTGTGTTTAGAGCATCAATATCTTGTTGGATTAACTTTGTCTGAAAAAAATTAAATCAAAAATTTATATTTTTTTACTCATCACAGTAAGTTCAAAAAATGACTGATTTAATTTTTTTTTAATTTTCTGTTTTTCTCAAGAAATAAAAATTATTACCCGTTTTCTTTCAGCTTCAGGGTCAGTTGTTGGAGTAAATAATGCAATAATAGCTCCTAGAAATCCCTGGTCAACTTTTAAGGCCATTTCCTGAATGAGGACCATAAAATACCTAAGAAAAAAAATTTCGAAATATGAAAAAGGGTTTTTACCAACCCTCACAATTTTGAATGATAAAATTTTATTTTAGCCAAAGTCTGAGTTAGACTTTTTCCTTCATCCTTTAAAGGTTACATTAATAAAATCCAAGTTTGCTTAGATTGAGACTTTTCACTAAAGCGAGAGCCTTACTCAACATAATACTGTCCTGTTAACACTCGGCATTTAAAGTCTCAGATGCTCACATTCATCATGTTACACAAGGGACAAGGCAAACAGATGTTGTATCAAGAATTACACAAATTTTTTTTTAGAGGTTTTTGCTATAGGGCACGTGCGCTCGCCAGAAAAACAGAGAGAGACAGAGAGATAGAAAGCGGGAAATCACCCCCCAGGGGGGATGGCCATGCCACAATCCCCTCTCCTCCATTCTCCTCTCGGGATCTTGGGCATGCATACACATGTGCCCAGTGTGAGTTTAAGCCACCGGGTCCAGGACTCGAACCATGGTCTACTACATGGGAGTTCAGCGACATAGCCATCATGCTAACTGCTGGTCCCGAGGAATTATACAAATTTTAGAGTTCACAGCACTGTTTTAAAGAACACAGCTCACAGGTACATGTGTCATTGATATTTCATATTCTAATTGAAGATATAAAGGGGAAAAGATGATTAGAGGAATTCTACACTCTAAAATATGTACAGACAATTATTAAAATAAGTTTAGGTGCAAAAAATTACTTGACTGAGGGGCTGGCACAGGTGGCATAGTGGTTAAGGGTGCTGGACTCCCACATGGCAAACCACAGTTCAAGTCCCAGACCTGGAGGCTTGCTTTTTCACTTTCTTTCTCTCTCTCTCTCTCACTCTCACTCTCTCTCTCGCTCTGGTCAAATTAAAATAAATAAAGTTAAATAAAATAATTCTTTAAAAAAATTACTTGACTAAAAGTGGACTAATATGTTTAGTTGGAAATAATTTTTTAATAGAAGTCACTTTTCACAAAGAGTAAAATTTACTTTCAAAGCAGATTCTCGTTTTTTAATTCCTTTGGACAAATAGTGGGAGTCATTACTTACTTGAACTGCAAGACTTTACTGTACTCATTAAATCTTGTGATGACACTCACATCGATGAAAGGTTTGGGCTCTAAAAGGATGAAAGAACACGGGAAAAAATCAGCTTTATATCAGGACAAAGTAGCTCTTAGTTAACTTTCATAAATAAGATATATCTATATCTCAATTTTCTTTTTACCTGAATCCAGAGCAATCGATTTTGGAGGGGCTACAGGGTGAAATACAACAGGGAACATCGTACCTGGCAACTGATTATCAACCTGAAAGAAAAGAACACCAGCCAGCTCAGCAGAATTTAAAGTAAACTTAACCTTCTAGTTTCAGAGATAATATTACAAAAGAAGGCATTAATTTCATAACAATTAAGTATGTGCATGTATATGTGGTACTATTAGAAGTTTCACTCTGAATCCATAAAATGTCGCAGAGACTTGGGGCCAGGCCAGCAGACTGTAGAGGTTAAGACGCTGGACTCCAATAGGGCCCACCATGCTTTGAGTCTGGACCCAGTGATGTGAAACTCACACTGGGCACATGTGTGTGCATGCCCAAAATCCCAAGAGGAGAATGGAGGAGAAGGAGCTGCAGCACAGCATCCCCCAGGAGGTTATTTCTTGCTTTCTGTTCTTCTTTTTTCTCTTTCTCTCCAGGAAGCACACCCTATACCAAAAATCTCTCTTTAAAAAAAAAAAAAAAAGTCTCATAGACCTCAACATGGGCAAGTCTCTACATGAAGGAATATGTAAATAACCTCATAAATGCACTTAACCTTGTCCAGCATGTACGCCATTAACAGAAATATTTATTCTTATGTGCCATGTGAAATTTCACCTCTCTATGGTTTAAATAAAATGCAAATAGAGACTGAGTATAAAATTAGAGGTTGGGGGGCCAGCAGTTAGCGTAATGGCTATATCGCTGGACTCCCATGTAGTTGACCGCGGTTCAAGTCCTGGACCCAGTGGCTTAAACTCATGCCAGGCCCATGTGCGTGCATACCCAAGATCCCGAGAGGAGAAAGGAGGAGAAGGGATTGCGGCGTGGCCATCCCCCCTGGGGAGTGATTTCTCGCTTTCTGTCTCTCTGTCTCTCTCTGTCTTTCTGGCGAACACACACACCCTATAGCAAAAACCTCTCCTTGCCATAAATAAATAAATAAATAAATAAATAAATAAATAAAAATAAAATTAGAGGTTAGGTAGAATAAAGAAAAAGAATTAAAATGTCCCAAATATTACTTAATAGTTTGAAGGAAGAAAAAGAGGGAGGCTGAGGAGCAAGAGGCAAGCAAAAGAACCTCCAGTGAAGCCCTACTCTTTGCCAGGAAGAAAGACAAAAGGAAAATTTGGGGGATCCCAGCACAAATGAAAAGGGACACTTAAAAATAATATAATCTCAGTGTGAGAAATCACTCTTGCAGGCCCACTGGTCAAATATGTTAATAGCCACGAAGCATTTGGACTCTGGTTATAAATAAACTGTTGCACCCACAGGGTAAGTGCGAGAAGGAGAAAGAGCACACAAGTGAAAAGAAAAGATACCAGTTAAACATAAACCACAGCCTTCCAAAAAAAAAAAAGACATTTCATTCCCAAGATCCCCAAAGTGCTTAGATATTTCTATGGAACTGAGGATGACAACATTACCTGAAGCCAATACAACCTAGCCCTTAAACTTCTCTGGTGAGGAGACTGCTTAAATTCAACCTGAATTCCTGATAAAAAGTCTCGTTTTATAGGGCACCGGATAGGGAGGCGCATTTCCATTGGAACTCTATCAAAATTGATCTGGAAAAAAAACACATTTTTTTTTTTATGATAAGCTGATATTAGCAGAGTAACTATTCCATTTTAACTAGCAGTTTACTCATCAAATTGAGAAAAAAAAGGCATCTTAATCTTTGATTCTTGCCAAGAGAGCTATTTTAATATTTTATTTTAATATATTTTATGGTGGTCTACAGTTGGGATCGAGAGGAGAAAGGAGGAGAAGGGATTGCGGCGTGGCCATCCCCCCTGGGGAGTGATTTCTCGCTTTCTGTCTCTCTGTCTCTCTCTGTCTTTCTGGCGAACACACACACCCTATAGCAAAAACCTCTCCTTGCCATAAATAAATAAATAAATAAATAAATAAATAAATAAAAATAAAATTAGAGGTTAGGTAGAATAAAGAAAAAGAATTAAAATGTCCCAAATATTACTTAATAGTTTGAAGGAAGAAAAAGAGGGAGGCTGAGGAGCAAGAGGCAAGCAAAAGAACCTCCAGTGAAGCCCTACTCTTTGCCAGGAAGAAAGACAAAAGGAAAATTTGGGGGATCCCAGCACAAATGAAAAGGGACACTTAAAAATAATATAATCTCAGTGTGAGAAATCACTCTTGCAGGCCCACTGGTCAAATATGTTAATAGCCACGAAGCATTTGGACTCTGGTTATAAATAAACTGTTGCACCCACAGGGTAAGTGCGAGAAGGAGAAAGAGCACACAAGTGAAAAGAAAAGATACCAGTTAAACATAAACCACAGCCTTCCAAAAAAAAAAAAGACATTTCATTCCCAAGATCCCCAAAGTGCTTAGATATTTCTATGGAACTGAGGATGACAACATTACCTGAAGCCAATACAACCTAGCCCTTAAACTTCTCTGGTGAGGAGACTGCTTAAATTCAACCTGAATTCCTGATAAAAAGTCTCGTTTTATAGGGCACCGGATAGGGAGGCGCATTTCCATTGGAACTCTATCAAAATTGATCTGGAAAAAAAACACATTTTTTTTTTTATGATAAGCTGATATTAGCAGAGTAACTATTCCATTTTAACTAGCAGTTTACTCATCAAATTGAGAAAAAAAAGGCATCTTAATCTTTGATTCTTGCCAAGAGAGCTATTTTAATATTTTATTTTAATATATTTTATGGTGGTCTACAGTTGGGATCTCGAAGCAAAACCATTGCTTTTGTAACACAGTTACCAAGAAAACAGTTGTGAAACTTTCCAACTCTAGTTTTCCAACTATACTGAAAAAAAGGTTTTATATTAAAAAGAAAGAATAGAGTAATAGATAATTCCAGATAATTCTCTTAATGAATTTTGTTTTGCAATCAAGAGTCAACGCTGGTTTGTCTACACTAATTGTATACTTGTCATTTAATAACAGTTAACATGGACGACAATGAGTGGGGACTATAACTGGGAACAAGAGCAAGCTCAACCCTCGACATCAAAGAACCAGCGCCACCCAATGGTGTGACTAAACCGGAGAAAGCCAGAAACTACAGTAAAGCTTTTGAAGGCTTCTGGAAGCAGGGATGACTTTCCGTTTTAACTGTGGAAAAGCCCATGTAAAAGCACACATTTAATTACAAATATCTATAATATCTAGTGAATTTAGTGAACAGAGTTTTGCAGGCTTTTCATCAATGAAATGCATTATTTTACAGTCTCTATTTAGCAGTATATATGGCTATCATATAGTAAATAAACTAGTTTCTAAACACATCTTTACTAAGAAATTGAAATTTTGCTGACTTCCACCACCAAGACACACATAGAAAAATCAAAACAACAAAAAAAATCTTGGTATACCTCAAAATTACCGTCTATCTTAATCCAGCCACGGTCTCTTGATATTAGATATTTCTGATAGGATTGTTCCAAAAGGATTATCTGCTTTTGACTAAAAGGTTTCCATTTTTGTTTTGGTTTCATCTCCCAAACAACACCTGAACTGAAAGAATCCACAAAAAAAATTAAATTAAGAATGCATGTTTAGGTTTGCGGGACTATCTAGTTTGTTATTCAACTCCACATTATTAACACTATTAATATATCATAAAATTATAGTGATAATAACAGATGCTTTTTATTGCCAGAACGTACATGCACTCATGAGAAAGAGAGAGGGAGGGAGAAAGCACCCCCTACAGGGGTGCGGTCATGCCACAATCCCTTCTCCTCCACCTCTCCATCCCGTCAGGATCTAGGCATGCACACACAAACGCCAGAATGTTTACAAGCCACTGGTGCCAGGATTCAAACCTCAGTCAGCCATGTGGGCTCTGGCACCCAAAGTATAGAATTCAGCTACTGCACTATGGGGCTGGTCCCAGATGTAAGAGATTTTTTTAAATACCGAACTATACCTATGTTGTAAGAGTATGAGGTGTATTTAAACTATGTCATAGAAAATGTGTATTATGAAAAAAAATGCATGAATTTCAACCTTTTTTTGCACCAAAATGAGTTTTTTTTTTATTTCCCCTAAATCAGGAACTCAAAGAGTATAATACAATGTTACCACTGCGGGGGCCAGCAGGTAGCAGGGTGGTTAAGAACCTGGACTCCCACATGGCTGGCCATGGTTTGAGCAGCACACACAGCAGCTTGAAAATCATGCCAGATGTGTAAGCTTATGTGCCCAAAATTCCAAGAGGAGACTGGAAGAGAAGGGACTATGGTGCGGTCACCCTCCCTAGGAGGTGACTTCTCACGTTCCCTCTCTCTGTCTCTCTCTGGTGAAAACCTAAGGAGAAAAAGTTACCACTGCTAAGGCATCACATTGCCATGATCTCAGACAAGTCAGGAATTACATCTTCTATGCCTGACAAAAGTTCACAGAACTGGTGACAGTCCAGGAGACTGAGTGACGCTCACTGTCCAACACGACTGGTTCAGTAACACATGCCAGATTCCGGTGTTTCTCACAAAGAGCCTGCTGATAACACAATGAGGACTGCAAGCTTTGTGAACTTGTCCAGCTAAGTCTTTTTCTACTTCACACCTATTTTTTCCATAATACGATCAGTTGTAATTAACTAGGAAACTTCGCTTCTGGTGGTACTGAATTAGCACTTCCTCAACCTGTGAAAGTACTGTTACTGTAGTTGTTCTGGGCAGAGAATTCAGAGGTAACTCTCCTCTCACTCCCCGCGCAGCGCTGACTTCTCCAGCATCCGACTGAGCAGTATGGGAAACATCTGTTGACTCATCAAGAGCCAAGGAAAACCACACCGTATCATTTACCTTTTTTTTTTTTAATTGACTATTGATGTTTCTTTGAATGTCCTTAATTTGCTGAGCAACTGTTCTCACTGAAGGGCTAATGGCCTTAAACAAGTTTATTTTCTCTGGACACATTTCTTTAGCTGCTGCAATCAGACATGATTCAATTAACTCGCTACTGGCAAGAGGCTTTCCTTGCTTGGCTAACAAGTGAGTCACTCAGAAACTTACTTTGGCTGCAGCCTTATTCTTATTTTTTTACTTGGAGGAAGAAATTCTGCTGTAATAAAATATTCTGCCTTGCATTTTCTATTTTTTTCTGACTACTGCTTTCCTGTGATTTCGGCATGTAGTAAATGTGTGTTTGGTGTGAATAGTTCATATACATTGTGTTAGTTTACTACAGCTATAGGGTCATTACGCTATGGCAAATAACGCTTTCCCATTTACTCTTTTTTTAAATTGCAAGTAAGGGTGTGTACTTGTCAGAGACAGAGACAGACAGAGAGAGAGACAGAGAGACAATTAAAGAACCCCCAGTGTTCATGGTTACTCCATATCCCTTCTCTACTCCTCTATCCTGTTGGGACTCTGGTCACACATGCAACCGACATGTTTTTAACGCTGCCGGGCCAGGATCTGAACCACTGTTAGTGGTGCTGGATCCAGCTCCCTTAACTACGATGCTATGGGCCAGCCTTTCCATTTGATAAGATAATCCACATTCTACCATGCTCTAAAAGAGCAATGTTCAAAGCCCATTTCCCTTTTCTTGTTTTGACATGGGCGGTATGCACTGGACATTCTTTGAAGGGGCTGGCTCCATGGACTAGCGGTTTAAGGAACCGGATCCCACATGGTCAACTGTACAGTTTAAGTCCCAGCCCCAGCAAATTAATAAGAACACCAGTGCAAGTGGGTGCAATGAGATGGAGAAATGGCGGAGAAGAGATTGCGGCATGGCCACACCCATTGGGGGTGCTTCCTTCCTTTCTCCCTCCCTCTCTAACTCTCTCCCTCTCCCCTTCTATTTCTATGGCAAGGACACACACCAACTGGTAAATTGTTTTTAAAAAAGCAAAAAATAAAGAAATGTTGCAGTACATTAATGTATATGCTACTCGAATAATCAATGTGATTTAGTGCACCAAGCAGCAGTGCAAAAGCAGTCAAGTACATGTAAAAGACGGAAAATGGCTGTGTTCCAATAATCCAATTTGAATTTCTTAACTTCCATAGGTTACAAAATATTTTTCTACCTTTGTTTTTTTTCAACTATTTAAAAATGTAAAACACTGTTTTTAGATAAAAAGTGACACAACAGGCGGTGGGCTAGATTTGGCTCATGGGCCATACTTTGCTGACACCTGCATGGAAGCATACTGTTTGCATAATGATAAAATATAAACCTGTAACATTTCCACTTTCACAATGTGTTGATGTTACTCACAGTATTAAAACTATCTTCATCATATAACATGTTTAGAGGATAGCAGTCAATGAATGTACTGAGTAAAATATCTACTATAAATTACAAGAATACAACACCTACTCATAATAAAAACTGAGCAATCTAGAAATGGAGAGGAACTTCCTTAACTTGACAAATAGCAGCTACAAAAACCTGTAGCTAACATCATACTTGAGGGTGATAAACAAGATACTTTCCCACTAAGAGCAAGAATAAGGTAAGGACGTCTACCCACACCAGCCCATTCAATACTGTACATAAGATGTAGACAATGAAATAAGAAAATAAAACATATACAGATTAGGAAGGAAGAAATCATGTTGTCTTTGTTTATAGGTGACATGATTATCTACATAGAAAATACCAAAGAATTAACTAATAAGCAATTACAAGGTTATAAGATACAAGGTAAATAACCAGTCTATTGCTTTCTTACGTGCTAACAATAAATAAATAGAATTTGAAATTTAAAATATAATGCCATTTACATGAGCACCAAAGAAATAAAATACTCCATTTCTGTCTCTTTCTCTCTGTCTCTCTCATTCATGGAAAAAAATAAACTAAAAAAAAAAAAAATTAAAAAACAGGTTCAAAAACAGGACACAGCAGCTTATAAAACATGCCAGGAATGGGACCAGCAGATGGCGTAATGGTTATATCACTGGACTCCCACATAGTAGACTATGGTTCATGGTGACTTAAACAAACTCATGCCAGGTGTGTGGGTGTGCGTCCCTAAAGTCCAGAAAAGAGACTGGAGGAGAAGGGGTTGTGGAGTGGCCATCCCACCTGGGAGCTGACTTCTCACTTTCTATCTCTCTGTGCCTCTGGCAAATGCACACATCCTATAGCAAAAATCTCTCTAAAAAAACCAGATGTGTCCAAAATCCCAAAGAAATAAAGGAAAAGGGACTGTATTATGACCATACCTCATTGGAGGGGGGGTGCTGTCTTCCCCTCTCTTTCTCTCGTCTCTCTTTGGCAAATATTTGTACACTGTGGTGTGTGTGTGTGTGTATGTGTGTGTGTGTGTAAGGAGGGGACTAGATATCACTACATACTTATTAGAAAATCCAAAATGACAAACTAAACACTGATGAGGTGGTGCAGGATAGGAACTGTCACATTGCTAGTGGGAATGCAAAACAGTTGAGCCATTTTGGAAAACAACTTGGCAATTTCCTTTTTTATTTTTTGGAGAAGTTTTTGCTAGAGGGTGCATGCGCTCACCAGAAAGCGAGAGATAACCCCCCAGGAGGGATGGCCAAGACGCAATCCCTTCTCCTCTCGGGATCTTGGGCATGCACACACGCGCACCCAGCGTGAGTTTAAGCCACCAGGTCCGGGACTCAAACTGCGGTCAACAACATGGGAGTCCAGAGATGCACACAAATGTTTAAAGCAGCTTTAAGCTTAATTGCCAAAATGTGGACGTAACCAAGATAACTTTTAATAGCTGAACAAGTAAAAACGCTGGTATATCCATATGATAAAATACTATTCAAAGATAAAAAGAAGTGAACTGCCAAGTCATGAGAAGAAACAAAGGCAATAAAAGTATATTGGTGCTGGGGAACCAGCAGTTAGCGTAATGGCTATGTCGCTGGACTCCCACGTAGTCGACGGCTGGTCCCAGATGTAAGAGATTTTTTTAAATACCGAACTATACCTATGTTGTAAGAGTATGAGGTGTATTTAAACTATGTCATAGAAAATGTGTATTATGAAAAAAAATGCATGAATTTCAACCTTTTTTTGCACCAAAATGAGTTTTTTTTTTATTTCCCCTAAATCAGGAACTCAAAGAGTATAATACAATGTTACCACTGCGGGGGCCAGCAGGTAGCAGGGTGGTTAAGAACCTGGACTCCCACATGGCTGGCCATGGTTTGAGCAGCACACACAGCAGCTTGAAAATCATGCCAGATGTGTAAGCTTATGTGCCCAAAATTCCAAGAGGAGACTGGAAGAGAAGGGACTATGGTGCGGTCACCCTCCCTAGGAGGTGACTTCTCACGTTCCCTCTCTCTGTCTCTCTCTGGTGAAAACCTAAGGAGAAAAAGTTACCACTGCTAAGGCATCACATTGCCATGATCTCAGACAAGTCAGGAATTACATCTTCTATGCCTGACAAAAGTTCACAGAACTGGTGACAGTCCAGGAGACTGAGTGACGCTCACTGTCCAACACGACTGGTTCAGTAACACATGCCAGATTCCGGTGTTTCTCACAAAGAGCCTGCTGATAACACA